ACTCGTCGGGACTTCGGCGATTCCGGATTATCGATTTTTCCGGATTATAGATCATCAGTTTAAATCAGGAGATGGCTGCAAAATTACAAATTAAAATATGAAACCGTAATTATGAATAAAGAACAATTATGATCTAAAGCGTATCAAAATTACAAAAAAAAAGCTCAATATTATTGTTTACTTTATTAACTTTCCTCAAGTAAGTTGCTTCGTTCATGTGATATACTTCTCTTTAAATTCTTAAAAGACATAATTTGTTTAGTTACAAAGTTCCGGTCAAGTCCTAATGCTTGGGAGAATCGACAATTGTCAATCGAAATGTTTTCGTTTTCAATAACGTTCTGGGTCACTTTCTCACTATCGGAAGCGAATTATAATGACGAGGAAGTTGATTTAAATCATATCAAAGCAGATGAAATACTACACTTAGTATGGAATTATAAAACCAAATAAATAAAAAATCTGCCCTGAAGATAGGATAGTGCTGACAAATCAACTTCCAATCCGCCGCGTGAAATGATAAAAATTTCGGATCTCAAACATACTTCGCTTTGTAGATACAAATTACATATTAGTAAATATATCGGAAATTCTATTTGACATAATCTTTCTAATCTATCTAATCTAATAATGACGTGTCTGCCCCCCCTCTGCCGCAGAGCAGCGTGAAATGATAACAGATTTCGGATTTCAAACATACTTCGCTTTGTAGTAAATATATATCGGAATTCTTTGACATAATCGAAAGTTCAAGCGTACTTTTAAAATGCTCTAACAGTCTGCAAAAAATAGTAAGCCGGATCCAATTCGAAGATTAAGGAACAACGCAATCGCAACATTAACTGAATTAGTAACTTTAGCTTAGCGTATAAACTCCGTACAATTTAAACGCGCATGCGCACAAACATTCGCAGCCGTAAGGGTCTTACGCGCTCTCGTAAACACCTGTGCGCATGCGTGAACGCGACGCATGCGCAGAAAGTTTGTAGCTTTGAGGTCCGGATTATAGATTATTCCGGATTATGGGTGTCCGAATTAACGACTTTTGACTGTACTAATGTATATAAGTTTCAGTGGACAGTAGAAATAAATGGTAAACATATATTACAGTCTCAGTGACCCTACACAATTAGTATTTTACCTATGCTAACGTTATTTCAGAGGCATTTTTTGGCCCTAAATTCAGTTTTATGCATATCAAAATTTTCTTCCGTATGCATAGTGATAAATAAATAGTCAAGTTAATTATGCTATCTAATAATTAAGCTTATCAGGAACAAGTAAATCTAGTTCTTATACAGTAATGAATAAAGTTGATTGCTTGCTGCTATAACGTTACATAACTGCATTATTACGATTGAGTTCAAGTTTTATATATATATATATAAACTTGCTCATAGAAAGTGAAATTCCCCCCCATCCCAAAGAGTAATTTTCGAAATTCTCATAGTTTTGTAATTAGGAATGAAATATGAATTGCTATATTTTCTATTAGCATGGTTAAAACATACTCTTTTCATGTGGTGTGTGTGGGGGGGGGGAAGCAGATAAATAAGTATATATTATTAATAAAATAATAGAGAATATAACGTAAAGAAGTTCTTATTATTCTAACAAAAAATATCTTTTAGATTCGATAAATATATCAAATCAAAAAATATCTTTTAGTTATCATAATTATGATTTTTTTAGTAAGATATGCACATTAATTGTCAGTAGTTCTAGAGTTAAAATAGACTGAACAGTAAGTGAAAATAAGGAAACTCCTTATTCCTTGTAGTCCACCATACATTAAAAAATAGTTTGGGCATTTAATGCCCGAGTGATGAAAACAAGGAAACCATGTTACTGCAATGGGTAAATTAGAAACAAACTTCTCATATCATAATCCCACTCACTACACTAAAAATATTATAATATATTAAAGAAAAATATTGCTAATGCATTAAAGCTTGAACATTACAGGTATGTTTTGATTACTTGAAATACTGAAACATAATTAATGAACCCTCTGAGTGACACTGTTTTTTGTACTAAGTGACACTCATGACTTACATTTAAACAGTTTCTATCACCTAAATTTTTATAATTCATTATTTTAGCCCCTGTTTTCCTAAATTTTTATTCTATCTGATGATATTTATATGTAGTAGTATTAAAGAAAAGAAACATTTTAAATTACAGTATAATATAATGGTCTCAAACCTGAATTGTATGATCTGAAATCAACTTACAGGACAATTTTTTATATAAATCTTTTAACTAAATAAAAAAAATTTTAATACATATTTGCCAAGATATCCATTGACAATAATATGAATGATGGGAAGAAGAAATCCAAATTTATACTTATTTTCTGTCTAAAATCTAAAGGAAGTAGGAAATATCTATTGTTTACTTTTATAATTCAAACATATTGACATATATATATTATGTGATCATAATAGTATTAAATCCTCAGACTGACATTTATTCAAGTAATTTTAATATATGGAATTAAACACTAAATAACTTACTTTTAAAACATAAACTAAAAATGAAAAAATTAGAAACTTCCAACTTGAGAATAAATAATGACAACCTATTCCTTTTTTATTCTTTGATACAAGCTGACAAAACTGCATATTTGGGTGTAAATAATTATAAATTTATTTTTTATTACAACTTTTAGCTACAACACCCCGTGACGTTTTAATTATGATAAACTTTGTAAGCCCAGAAAAAAATTATTAAAAGTGTCATAAATTATACATATTGGCAATTTGGTCCCTTTCCTAGAATTAATAACTTTCATCCAAAGGAGAACAAAAAATACAACAAAACAACAACAACCCAAAAAAAAAAAAAAAAAAAAAAAAAAAAAAAAAAAAAAAAAAAACTGTTCATATGTAGATGTACTTTCAAACAAAATTACTTCTTTTAATGCAAAAATTCAGAAGTGATTTCAAGTATGAATAAATGTTAATAAAATTTTTATTTTGAAATCTTTTGATAAGATTTATACCACTATGTAAATTAACTAGGTCTATTTGTACAATACTTGTGATATTAAGATTCATTTCTGGTAATGAAAATAATGTAAAAAATTTGACTCCAAATCATTAAAATCATAAGCTTTTTCTTCATATTCTTGTTATAATAATGCCAAATAATTTATGGGAAATGTATTCTTGGGCTATGTAAAATTGCTTCGTTGGTCCCCAGTTTGAGAACAGTGACCTAATATATAACAAATAAAAGTAAAAAAAAACTCATAATCAGATAAAGGTGATCATCAAAATCGTAAAAAACAACCTTATATTTAGCGTAGGTATAATGAAACACTCAATCGATTTCGAGGGCAGCTAAAGGTCCCTCCTCATCAGAAGAAAGAAATACATAGAAAGAAGAAAATAGGAAAGGAGTCACAGAAACACGTAGTGCTTATCAGCACTGCACGTGGTTTATAACTAGATTTTAATCAGAGTTGCACTGGCCGCCTACTTTTACTGAGCCAGGCTGTCTGATCAAGCATAAAGAAATATTAGCGAAGTTAAAATAGGGAGCGAGGGGTAAATGCACCTTACGCTCAAAATCTGAACTTCAAATAAATTATTTGAGAATAAAGAAATATTAGCGAAGTTAAAATAGGGAGCGAGGGGTAAATGCACCTTACGCTCAAAATCTGAACTTCAAATAAATTATTTGAGAATAAAGAAATATTAGCATAAAGAAATATTAGCGAAGTTAAAATAGGGAGTGAGGGGTAAATGCACCTTACGCTCGAAATCTGAACTTCAAATAAATTATTTGAAAATAAAGAAATATTAGCGAAGTTAAAATAGGGAGCGAGATCCACTCAGAGGGTTTATGCTTATAATGCAGAGAAAAAGTTTACGCAGTTCAGAAGTGATATACTGCAAATTCATTTTTATCTTTTGTGCAAATTTTAACCCTTTTGGCATTGTTGCATGCAGTTTTTAGAGATGTTTGCAAGATTATGTAATGATTAAAGAATACAAAGCTATTATGATGATAGTAGTTCCCCTCCCTCTGTAAAATGAAGTGGTGGTAGTACATATTTTTAACACAAAATGTTAATATACTGAAACATAAAAATTTTAATACCTTAAAGTGCATGCTCATATATTAAAATATAACCTTTAAAGTCTTTCTTCCCTCTCTCTCAGGAATTTCTAAGAATTTTAGCATTTTAAATTCTGAAAAATATAAAAATTAATGAAAGATGGTTCAAAATTTGCTTGAAGAACAACGGAAAAATATTGTATGGATAAATATAGTGTTGAGGTAACTTTTTAGTCTAACAAGAATGAATGAGAACTTTCAGCACTTTTCCATTATGCATCTGCCATATCTTTATGGCAGATGTAAAAAGGAAGACAAATACATATAGAATCCCAGTAATATTGCCATCTGAGGATCAACCATTTTGTGGATGTGTGTTTTAATTTAATTCATTTAACTGTGTATTTACAATTTAAAAAAAACCTGCCAAAATGCATGGCAAGTGTTATTACATTAATTCTGTATAGAAATACATGAGAATTTACCAAAACTATTAGAAATCACATCTGATTCTTTCTTACATGGACAATATTTGAATCTATAAGATGATAAGGTAAAGACTATTTACAGGTATCAGGGGTACAGCTAAGAGGGGGGCATTTGTCCCTGGGCACAGCATCCAGTGGGCACCAAACTGATGTTATGAATTTTTAGAATGAAGTGTTTTCTATTGTTGGCAAACAAGAGAGGTGCAAGATCTTAAATTGTCCTCTGGCACTGAAAACCTAGCTACAGATCTGATACCATATTTTTAAGTGTAAAAGCATAAAAAATTATAAAAAAAAACACTATATAATGTTTCAGCTTTCATTTAAAAATTTTTATGAATATAGAAATATTAAATTAAACTACAGCACTACAAATACAATATACATTGGTTAGATTTATTTTATTACCATTTAGAACAATTACTAGATTGTAATAAAATAACTACATTAATTTACATTTAATCTTTTTATTTGTCCAAACTTCAGCGAAGTAATTTTTCAAAATATCATACATAATTCTGTGTTACATGGTTAAAAAGTATTATTATTAATGAAATGTGATAATAATTACATTTAATATAAATATTATGAATATACACATTTTGTTTTTAACTTTGTATTCTGAAATAAAACTAATTTAACCATTATTTAAAGATGTCTCCAGCAGCTTTTCAGCCACTTTATTTTTTATACTAACATATATATTGTCTTTAATATAGTATCTAAGTGGTTTGCTGGCCCATTCATCCCCATATGAATCTACACCAATTCTTTTACAAGCCACTATATTGGACCTAGCAACAGTAAAACCAGTTTCAAGCCATAAATCTGATGATGTACATAGATCGGCTTTATTTAATAGAGTTTTTTCAATCTTAAAAGCTTGGCATAATTTTGAAGGTCCATTACATAAATCTTTATCTTTTAACGTCGAAGAATTATTTCGTTTAACAGAGCGAAATTCTCGCATTGTTGGTATTCCTTCTAATGGTTCGAGTGCTCTAATCAAAACAGCAGATCCTTCTTCCCGACTAGAAATATTAAAGCAATAGTACATACCATATATGGTATATACATACGCAGTTCCAGGATCTAAAAACATTGCTTCATTTCTTTCTGTCCTTTTACCTTTATATGAATGACTAGTTTTATCTTCAATACCCAAATAACTTTCAGTTTCAACAATTCTACCACGTAACACTTCCCCTGATTCCAATCTCCGAACTAAAACTTTTCCTAAAAGATCCTTAGCTAATATAGTGCATGCTTGATTGTAGAAATCTTTAGTAAGTCGTAAAGCAGAACCTGCAGAAATAATTTTTTCAGAGTGGTATGTTGACAGCTGAACAGCAGACTGGGAACCATTTAATTTTATATCCGTGCTTTGACAATTAAATGTGTAATCATTCTCCTGGACAGTTTTCCGGTTACGTTTTGAAACACCAATTTTCTCCGAAAGTCGGTTATTCAAGGTTCTTTTCTTCCGTGATAAATGATGATCATTCATATTCAACACCGGATTTGAACAACCATAACATTCAAAATTCAGATTTAACATTCAAAACTAGTGAATAACTGAAAATGGAAATTAAAGAAGAAGAATACAAATCGTAATAATATGACTAAAAATAAATTTCAAAAATACTGCCTGATAATTTCATTACATTTTTGCACTACACGTTTCGCATCGTAAACATAAATATAAATAAATAAAACATAGTTGATGATGATGAAAAACGATTCAACACGTATCCTTAATTTTCTTTTGATAAATAAAATGCACATGGGCAAATCAGAAGTGCAATAGTATTAAAATATTTGTCCTAAGTGACTTAATACTTACATTTTCATGATTTGTAAAATGGAAAATAATTAAAGAAATTTCTCAATATCTCTTCCATGCCTATAATTTATCCTTTATAAAAAGACAGCTAAACAGCAGCTCCACCTATCTCTTCCCCCCCGCACTTCTCTCGTAAAGATCTTCTGCGAATAACGACTTTCAATCAGATTTTCTGCATTGTTACGATTAAGTGGATGTTTAAAGTATTAAGTTTTTGTATTAAGTAAAATATTACTGTTTAAGGTAAATAAAAATGGTGAAACTTACTGCTGAACTCATTCAAATGAGTGCACAATTTATAAATCCTGTGCGAGACAGGCAGTTGGATTTAAGAGGTATTTGTCTGTTTGTTCTCTGCGGCTTAAAATAACTGTGCTAAAAGTTATATTTTACGAAATGATATTATTATGTTTTTCTAAAAATGTCGATATTTTAAATTTCTGTTATATATAAATGATAACGTTGAGTTAAGAGACGGAGCGGAATTTTTAATTTAGAATACCTTATCGGATTATCTCGTGTTACTGTGCTTGAGTTTTGTGAAAAAGTCAATCACTTTTGCCACAGTGCTAAGTTATGAACAACGGTTCAATCGATCGTTGAGTGATTGTAATTGTTTAGGTCGTACTATAAATTTTATATATGTTTTGCATGTGAAGTACCTTTTTTCTATGTTTGTAACAGCAATTGGCATAAGAATTCTTTCTTAAGCGTAAGGAGTATTTCAGATTTGAGATATGTTATATTTTTGAGATGGATTTCAAATTTTCTTGTGTTTTGTAGAGATGATGATTTTTTTTTTTTTTTTTAATTCTGTGTTGAGCTAGTTTTAGTTTTGCTAATTCATGAGCAATATGAGAATATGTTATGCTGCCATAGAGCAGTATTTTTTTTGAAAATGTATTGGAGAGTTTTTGTAGGTTATGTGGCAAAATGGCCCTGAGGAAATTCAGAAATTCTTTCTGAATCTTTTTACCACAGAACATAGAGATTTTCTACCTTTGATAATCCAAACTTTCTCTCAAAATCACTAGAAGTGTTTGTGTCCAAGCATGTTTATGTTCTAAGTGTAATTGCTCGATCATTCTTTCTACAATTATATTTTTTGAAGGTAGCAATATAGGGAATGTATATGCCAGTAAATATGAAGAATCCAAAACTCGAGATTTTATTCCTAAAATTCTATTTTCATGAATGAAAATCTGAAGAGTTTCCAAATCCGACTTTCTTTGTTCTTTTTCAAAAGCATCCTTTTGTATAAGAAAAAATAAAATTTTTTCTGCTTTCTTGAATTCTTCAGTTGATATATTAGCCAGGCGATTTTTGTTTTTACTATAAATGAGTCGAAATCTTAACATCCAAGCAATAGTTTGTACAGTCATAGAATATTTTGAAAAGTGGGAGGAAAGTTTAGCTAGAATAGTTTCAACCATTGAATTCTTCACCAAAATGACAGTCCATTGTCATTCTCTGTCGATTTCTTACATATCAAAGGGATCATTTGAAGGCCAAGTTTCTGGAGGTTTCTTCAGAAATTCAGGTCCTCTCCACCATTGGGATTTTACAATTTGCAATGATAGCATCCTCTTGACAATCAGCAGGGTTTAGGATGCCTGGTATATGTTTCCAACATCCTTCTTTGCTGTAATCTTGAATCTCTGTTTTCTACAAAAACAGACCAATTATTTCGCTTCTTCATCCATGCTAAAACAGTTGAAGAGTCTGAGCAGAAATAAGTCTTAATGTTTATACCATTCAAGCTTTTAATAGCCAATTCATGTAATCTTACAGCCAGAAGTACGGCCATTAATTCCAACCACTGTAAAGTGATTTCTTTCAATGGTGTAAGTCGGGATTTTTCTAGGACAAGACGAGTAAACTTCTCCATGTTCTTCCATTATTAAAAATATACAGGCATCATATGCTAGTTTACTTCATCACAGAAGATGTGTAAAGAGCTTGTTGAATTAATGAAAATTGTTCTTGGGATTCAAAAGTCGTTCAAAAAATTTATTTCTGTAGACAATTTAACTGAATTCTTTCCGAGTGTCTTCTGGTAGTTCCTCGTCCCAGTCAGACTTTAATTTCAAAGTCTTCTGCAAAATAATCTTTGGAAAGAAGAGCTGGTGAAGAATTGTAGGATCAAAAAGTTTCTGAATGCATGAAAGAAGGATTCGTCTTGTGGAATCTTGACCAAAATACTACTCGGCATCCCAATTCATCTGATGGTCAGTACCACTGATTACTAAGCACATTTTCTGGACTCTGATTCAAATCTAAACTACTTTTCCAACCTCTAAGGTTGAACCCAGCTGTAGATAGTAACAATTCTAAGTAAACAATATAATTTTTTTTTTTTTTGGCCATTCCAAAAAAGGTAAATATAAAACGATGTAACTGTATTAATTTTCAACAGGTTAATCTTCAGTTGCAGATACATTAGTACGAGTTATTAGTGATCATAATTACTGCTGATTGATCTAGAAAAGTTCCGTAGTGCAATTTAAATAAATCTGGTTTACTAGTTTGAAAAAAGTGTTTTTGGTTTCCTAACATCAAATTCTTTTCATTAAGTGTGTAGGGAGTTACTAACAAAACAAATGTAAATAATTTGCAGTAGTGTATTGTTAAGTATGTTTTAATATCTTAAAAAAGGCCAATTTTATGTATAAGCTACAGGTTAAATGATAATGGGCAAGTTATGGTGGTTAAAATTCAACGAGTTAGATGTGTATGATCTTGTAATTTAATTAAAGGTCCATTTGAATCCAAATTTTGACTATGAAATGCTTGCTGAAAATGGCCAGGAGGTAAGGCTGTGATAAGCTGGTTAACCCTCTAACCAGCAAGGCCTTATATGTAGGGCCTAGAATATTTTTTGTGATATCTGTAAGAACGTGTATATATACGAGCATATTAAAATATGTAAAAAAATAAGGAAATATATTAAAAGTACACAAATCCAAGTATAAATTACTAGGAGAGTTTTTAAATTAAAATCAAAATAATTTTTTCTTGTAGTAGTTTTGGGAAATTTGTGCTTTTCTAGCAAAAATGCTGGCTTGTCAGAAGGTTAAAGAGTATGGCTTTAATTAAGTATACAAAGAAGTAAAATTTATTCTACACAGAATTTCTATGCATACAATGTGACATTTAATTGATAAACTGTTATAAAAAAGTACAATAAGTTTTCTCTGCCTCAAAATATTCAGAAATTAGTGTCTCAATGAAGAATGAAGGGAATTAAGCTTATTTTCTGATGAGGCGTAGTTTATTTTCAAGATACTTGTTCACCAAAACTTATCTACAGTGATAGCCAAACTATGCTGGACAATAAATTGGTTATAATTCTGCTTTGATCTGCTGATTGATTGGGTTTTGTCATTTTCTTCCATTTGGGACTTCCTGTAAATGAGGCGAAAAGGAATAAAATTCATTCCTCTAATTTATTTTTATGGTGTAGTTGTCAGTGCATCCAGTTATCAAAGGGTACAGGATTCAGTACTTAGTGAGAGAGTAGTCGATTTTACAAGATTCCTGCTCTTAAAAAATTTAATGACTCCCCAGACATATTGGATATATGAAATAGAACCACTTAAGATTATTTTCTGGAAAAACATGTGAATGAACTTTTTTGCATTATCTTATTAGATTAATATTTTATATATAGTCAGTGTTTTAATAGTTACCAAGATAATATTTTCATTGCAATCTAATAAAATAAACTGCTGAGCTTCATTGTGAATCTGATGTCAGCCAATAAAATATACTGCTGAGCTTTAGTGGAGATACAAATACAACAAATTAAAGATTTATTCTTAGTACTTTAACATACAAACTAAAATTCAGAATCTGTAAACAATGACCACAGCTTCTTGTGAGATTTTAATGAATACAAAGTATTTAGTGTACTACATGATCATGCTTTACACTTATGAGGTTTGGATCAAACTATCCTTCACTTAATTAGCTTTCAACTGGTAAATCAGATAATCCACCAGATCTAAGCAGTATAGCAGCTAGTGAATGAATGAATAAATAAATCAACAATAATTTTTATTTTACATTTCAAGTATTTTAAAAAATGTATTTGATATCCAAGGAAAAAAATCATTTCCATTTCCTTCCAAAAAAAAAAAAAAAAAAAAGCACTATTATTTCTGTACTTTTAGAATTTCTTTAATTCAGCCATTTTGTCTATTACTGAAAGAGTTTTCTTTCTAGATTCCACTACAACAATGATGGATCCTGTGGAAGAATTTTTTTCCCTAATTCATTTTTCTCTTTTATTTATTTATTTTCGTAATTTTTATGTTGTGTTCAGGTAACAGTCTGATAATAGAACTGATATTACTTAAATGTTTCCGTTTTTACCTATGGCCTAGAAGCGAATAATTATTGTCTTATTTAAATGTATTTAAAAAAAAAACTCTGCAGGGCCAGATGGGATCACCTGAAAATCTGCTGTGCTGTACAGGTATGTATTTGTATATATCCTGTATGTGGTATTATCAAATATTTTTAGTTTTGCTTGAGAATTTAAAGATTGTAAAGTCGGAACTGTTTCTTAAATGGTGTATTTCGGTGCAGTATGTTTATTTATTTATTTATTGTATTCAAAGTTTAATTCTATCTAATTAAAAACTGTAAACCCTCTTTAAATGACCATGCAATGTTTCAGTATTTTCAGTCTTGTGGAGAGGGGACTATATTAACCCATTTGCATCATTCAAAAAAGTGGAAAATTGACCCATATCAGCGAAATTTTTTATTGTATAAAGATTAGAAATATTTCAAAATGATAAAAAAATGAAAAACAAAATGCGAATACAAAGAATTGATAGTTTCATTTAGTTCAATGAAGTTATACATTGAAAATAATTTGAAAAATTAAATTTTATAGTTTGACGCAGTAGGATAGTGCTTGAAATTATCAATACCTGTAGCCATATCCCAGTTATCACACTGATAAACTTAATCCTTTCTCTCTCTCTCTCTCTCTCTCTTTTTTTTTTTTTTTTTTTTTGTTGTGATAAATAACCTGCACAGTGTTTACAAGCTTTCTGTGGGTATTAGAAAATTGGCCAGTAAATCTTGATGGTAGTGATGGACGGGGTGTAATTTCTCGTGTTGTGGATGCTTTTATTTTTGTTTTAGTTTCTGCAGTTATTTCTTCTGTTATTTTGTACTTGAAGATGTGAAATGCTCTAACTTTATGAATAGTTTTGAATACAAAACATTCATTGCGCCGCAGCGCGCAATGAATTGGAAGTTGATATGTCAGCACTATCCTTATCTTCAGGGCAGATGTTTTTATTTTATTTGGCTTATAATT